TCTTTATATGGAAGGGAATTACCGCCAAAAGTCTATGTATCTTGCTTTTATTCTTATTCTGCCTACTTCTTTATGCTTTGTTATTATTCTAATTATATGTCACTTTATTGTTTTCGTATTCGTCTTTATTACATTACACTTGAGCTTTTATCGTTCTTTATTTTGTCCTTACTTCTATGTTGCTTTATTCTTGTGAATACATCCTACTTTCTTTTAATTTTATACTGTTTCTGAAATAAACTATCTTGATTATCTCGATTACGAACGTAAATTCAATCATGTAAACAATGCCACCTAGCGTTATAATGCGGCACTAAATTCAATGAAGACGAATGCAAGTTGTCCGAATTTAGTGCCGCATTATAACGCTAGGTGGCAGGGTGTTCGCTATACGAGTGTTGGTAAAAATAGGTAAGCAAACCCGGGCCGGGGTTATTAAAGATTTTTTCAATTTTCTGCCTTAATACTTTATCAATCGAACTTAAATTTTCAAATGATGTTTGTTATAAATTCAGGTATGTACCCGATAATGCCATTTCCTCGGAAGATGGTAAGATTTTCCCTGGAAGACTGACTACATGTATAGTGATGCTTCCTTCGGAAGACTATACAGTGAGACTCCCCCCCGGGGAAGTTTCAATATATAGCTAGTCTTCCGTGGGAAATCTAGCTGTATATAGTAATTTGTCCCCCTTCATAGCAACCCCTCCCCCGAATATTTTTTTTAATCGTAAAACAATGTTTATATGCTAACGTTTTCAGTTTTTGAAGAAAAGTTATCCGTCCTATATGAATAAATGTTTAAATGAAACCATTTTAATAGTGATTAATAATTAAATAATTTTAACCATTTAGTTTGACATAGATAATCTTCACGAGTACAAATGGGTCATGAATCCCCCCCCCCCGATCCCGTGGATGCCCCTCCTCCCGGGTGCAATCGCCCGCGTGGCACTGTGGTTACGGCGTCTGCCCCCCGGTTCCGACGCCTATGCAATGTAGTCAATTAATATATTAATAGTCATGTATTTAGTGGCATATGTAAATATGAGTAATATTTGGTACTGAAAACAAGTTGACGACCCCCCCCCCCCCCCCCTCACCATCACCAAATACAGAATTTTCAAGTTTTAAGATTTTTTTAACTCTACTGGCTGATGTAAAAACGTTGCGTTCTAAAGATATTTTTTCTTTATTAAAAAGTGCTATTTCAATGTAAAATATTAATGCATAAAAAAGACTGGGGAGTTTCTAGTATGCCTAAGGTGTTCCCTGGTTCCGACTTTGCCTACCCATAACACTCCTCACTCCTTTGCAAAGCCCCGTCCCTAGAATCACACGCATGAGCAATTACTATCTGTCGTGAAATAAAGTTCAGTTCAGTGGAACCAGTGACGGATTTAAGGAGGGGGCGCACCCGGCGCCCCCCCCCCCCCCCCTAAAATTGTCAAAGTAAACATAAATCACAGTCTCGTCTAGAAAATGTAAATATGCCTACTTGGTAGACCTCATTTTTACTCTACAAAATCTCTAGAACCCAGGAGCTTCCGGGGGCTTCGCCTCCTGAGCCCCCACCAGGGCTTTGCCCTTGACCCACTGGGGGCCTCAAGGCGGCCCCCAGACCCCTTGCCTACTTTTGGCGTCCCGTCTAACTTCATTTCCTAGATCCACGCCTGGGAACGTCCTGAAAAATAACTCAATTTATAAATTTATAAAGGGGTATCTAGTATCAAAATATTTAACATTTTTATGTCAATTAAACTGTTATACTGGAATTCAATTATCCAACAAATAACTTTAGTAGAGTGATATTTTTCAGGCGAGAGAACAGTGACGTAGCATCGATTTTGAAAATTCAAGCTATCCGCTGAAAACAACTTGACAAGCAAAAAAAAAAAAAGAAAAAAAAAGAAAAAACAAGGAAATTTCCAAACTTGAAAATACATAGGCGTCGATCGGAACCGGGGAGATGGCTTTGCCCCCACATTTTCGCAAAGTTAAACTTAGTATAGACATTGAACATTACTGCGTAGGTTTAGCCCCCCCCCCTACTTTCCATGGACACGATGCAGTATAGGTTTAAAATGTGGATAGTGGTGGTGTTTTGAAGGTCTAAAAAATATTTCTTACGCTTAGCCCCCCCCCCCCCGGCCCCAACTTTCACTTTGCTTCCGACGCCAATGAAATCATATCAAGGGGGCGGGGTGGGTTTTGGGTTAGATTCAAATTCATCTATAGTATCAAATTTAAATGTACTATACTACATTAACCTTATTTGACCCTTACCCTTACAAAAAGTGGGTCGGACTTTTAATGAACATATTCAGTAAAGTACCGGTATGTAAAGTTATGTCTGAAAAAAAAGAGGCCTCTATTCCTGTGTGCCCATAGAAAATAAATATTATATGGAGTTTCCATCATTGTATCGGGTGATCGGATTCGGCCTTCAGATATTCGATTGATAAAGTATTGAGGCAGAAAATTGAAAAATCTTAAATAACCCCGGCCCGGGTTTGCTGACCTAGTTTTACCAACACTCGTAGCGAACACCCCTGCCACCTAGCGTTTTAATGCGGCACTAAATTTTGACAACTTGTATTCGTCTTCATTGAATATGCTTCATTCTTTGTGTGATTGAATTCACGTTTGTAATTGAGATAATCATTTAAGAAACTGTATCAATTTAAAAGGAAGTAAAATGAATTAAAAAGAATAAAGCAACATAAAAGTAAGGGCAAAATGAAGAAGGATAAAAGTCAAAGTGAAATGTAATAAAGACGAATACGAAAACAATAAAGTGACATATAATTACAATAATAACAAAGCATAAAGAAGTAGGCAGAATAAGAATAAAAGCAAGATACATAGACTTTTGGCGGTAATTCCCTTCCATATCTTTAAGCTATGTTCTCGTAAGAATAACAACAAAATATAATCTCCATGTGATTTTATGGATATATTGCAGATAAATAGTAATCAAAACTTTTTTCATTTCAAGTCAGAACTTATTGTCAGAAACCACGGCCAAATTGTACGATCCTCTCATTTTTGGTTGAATGAGAACAGAATATTTCGTAGCTCATTAAAACATTGACCTATGCGAGTATAACATAGTAAGATAATAAACCTGATGCGAGCTTTCGATACCCAATCAAAGTTTAGGAAATACTGCTGATGTAAATTGTGGATTTCAGTTGCGATGGAAACATCAAAGTACTCAGAAGTACAGAGAGCCGGGCTCATTTACAGAGTAGAGTGGATTTCTTACATGAATCACAATTATATTCTGATTAAAAAATTTTAAAACTATCAATATAAATGATAAGACACTGACAGTGAGTTTTTCAATCCTAATACCACGGTCCGATTTTGTCAGAATCAGAATTTATCTGGTACCGCAGCTGAATGTAAACAAACAGGCCAGTCTGGTTCCCTCTCCTGCTTTACCTCGTATGTGTAGAGAACTACGGTAACACTGATTATCAAAAATCCTTACGCTAATGAACTATGTTCTTTTGACTTATGAAGTTTTCAAAGTCATTACTACTAATGTTTATTTATATAGATAAAACTTCATTTAATTTTTGTTGCTTTATTTAGCGTTTGTATTATCTCAAAAGCGGTTGAGAGTGAGAACTATATTTTTGCACGTAACTTTAAAATGGCGACTATGGGGTCAACATCCTGCCTTGAACAGGATCACATAAGCCGGCAATTGCTCTTTGAGCAATAAGCCCGGCTAAAAATCTGTTATTCATATTGACTGTATATGAAGTCACAATAATGAGGTGTAAAAATATTTATGATTATGACACTTTTTGTGATCAAGCAGCCATGGGTAGGAGAGAGTAATATGCAGACTTCGGACTGAGGCTTAAGACGATGGTCAGCACTGTTCAGGATTTGGTTTGCGAATGTAATTAAAAAACCAACGTCACAGGGTGTCTTCTACGTGCCAAATGTCGTGTGGTTTGATGCAATCTAATTAAAGTTAGATCTGCTTGCATGCTTGCTACACTGACATCTAACAACATCCCATAGATGGTCACGTAAGAGGTCAAATTCTATCACTATCATCAAATCAAATCGTCGCCTGCAAAATCATCCTTTATTGTTGAAGCTAATAAGTCTAGAGTTGTTCGGCATTTGACCTCTGACGTGACCCCTTTAATCTATGAGATGTTGTGAGATGTTTGTGTAGCGAGTATGCAAGCAGATGTAACATCGAACTTTAATTAGATTCGGTTTGATGAGTCTAATCTACATTAAAATTGAATAAGTATTTGCACTCGCCCTTAATGTTGCACCGTCAACATAATAAAGGTGTTATTAAAATAATAAAATAGACCAAAAAATTCATAATCGAAATAGTGGAAGTGCGTTTTTCTATGATTATGTGATAAGAAATTTTATGTTAAATAAAGGAAACTAAAATTTTTAACAAGTTACGACTTTTTGGACAACACTCATACAAACGCCGATCACATCTTTTGGATCTACAATGTTTACCGATGTATTGCATTTTCACGCTTTAGTTTCTAGTGCTTACGTGGCTCATGTTTTTCTATTTAATTACCTTATTTTCCAGCTGAATAGACATGGCAATCTCAGTAACTCAAAGTTTATTTTAAAGAAGCTACATTTTTACGATGCAAAAATGAGAATAATTAGTGAAAATCTAATGCAAAGTACAAAAAAAGTTTTATACCATGTTGACGAGTCGTGTTGTTTCAAAAGCGGAAGTGCCGGAAGAACAGGTGCGATTGACTGCGCATGTCCCTAAAGTGAAAGTAGACGCTCCCATCTAGGATAAAGGAAAGGGGTGTGAAAACTTTTCTTTATAATTTTTGAGAATTGATTTCTAAAATAATATCGAATTACTAATAATAGTCAAGTTCAGTTTCGTCAATTTGAAGATTTTGCATAAGTGATGCAAAAAATACAAATTCTTATAGAATTTTCAGGTCAAAGTATTTCAGTTATCATAAATTTCATACCTCAAATAATGAAATCGTCCATATTTGTTTCCCTGTCAGCGGTAAATAAATGGAAGCGACTTTTACACACTTCAGAGGTCTCAACGATCAATAATCGATTAACTTGACTTAAAGTTTCGCTCAATCACATCTCACGGAAATATGATAACTTAAAGAGCGGGTTATTTCATCCCTACTGAGATTGTGTAAATTATTTTCCCCAAAGGAATATTAAAAAGAACAGTTTTAGGCGCGTGTATTGAGAAATGTGTTTACAGGTGCACTGATTTGTAAGTGATAATTATGCTAAGTCCGCTGACAAGGGGATATGGCTCCTGGGACGGGGCACACTATGATCCTTATTCCGACCATGCTTCAGAGGTAGGATTTTTAATGTTGATTTAATGTATTTAAATTTTTTTATAACTGTATAAAATAGATATAAATTAAGTTGTTAGTTTTTTTTAAATACTTATTTGAATAAATAAATAAAAAGTAATCATCTTGAAGATTTCCAAATATAAATAAGTGATTGTCTGGAATAAATTCATTATAAATTAAGAGAAGCTCACACAGGTATATCCATCATTTTCAAATATGAATCGATCCCAATATTTTAAAAAAAATTCAATATCAAAACATCTTTAATGTATACTTTTATGATATCTATTATTCAAGCGATTCAAATAAAATGATTTTAAAATTTTAACACTGTTAATTATTAGGAGAAGTTGCCATTCATAAATGAACCAGAGCATCACAGACATGGAGTCACCATTGGTCATCTATCAAGATGTTCCACCTCCTTGTCAATCAAAAGCAACATCGCTCCCCCAGCCACACCCATCAGCCGGTCAGAAAGACTCCAAAGGGAAACAACCCACAACCGATTGTCAAGGGAAACAACTTCGGTTGATCACAAGGTTGACCTACCCAAAACATACCTTACTAAAAAGGGGGCACTGATGTTATTTACGGCTCCCAAGGATGATGATGAATCAGATGAGGCATACGTGGATCCAAGAATGGCTAAAATACACAGAGAGAAGAAGTTAATAGATTCTTCGTTGAAGATAAAGTCATTGGATAGACTGGCCATGTCTATTTTGCAATATGGAGATGAAGAGGTATACTTCTATAATTTATACCCTTTTTGTGATATTCTTAATCGAGGATGCCTCACCAAAATTAAAGCATATTGTATAAATATTAATTGCCTGTAATAGTGTCATAACCAATGGGTTTTCCATCCTCTCCATATGTACATGTAGTGTAACGGGGAGAAGATGCATAAGTTTGATGACTTTCACAGTACCTGTAGTTGCACATTGAATGCTCGCTGCCCTCCCTAAAAAATAATTGCCAACAAAGGCACAACATAGGTTTTCAGTGCTTTTTGAGGAGTAAAATTTTTCAGTGTTATCTTCAACTACATACAATACTATAATTATTTATTTACTATTTTTTTTTTATTTATACAATTTTTTTTTCACAAAGTGAATGGGGATTGGGCATATATATAGGCAACTGTTTAATATCAATACTTAGAGAAGTTTTGTGAAGTACATGTATGCTTGTTAAACAACAAATTCTTTTGCATTCCATATTGTAGCAGTATCCAACATTACATGCCTTTACATGCAAGTTTTTTTGATGCACTTTCAGAAATAAGAAATAAACTTTACATTAAGCTGTAAATCTATCATTTATGTGCATAACGGCCGAGCAGCCAAAAATCTGTTTATTTGCTCAGGAAGGAAAACTAATAATTTTCTCTGTTGGTGAAATTTAATTTTCTATTTGTACGGAACATTCAGTGTCAATATTTAAAGTAACGATAGTAGCAACATACTTGAAAAACCATTAACACCCCATAATGTAAATAAAAAATGTGTGGTACATTTGTGTAGACAAATAAGATATTTTTCATTGCAAAGATTCAATGCAAACAGTTACTAAATGAAAGCACTGCAAAGTAATGAATCAAGAATTGTTTTAATAACATTGCAAAAATAAATCTTTTATTGACAAATGATACAGTTTTAATGTCAGACAAGTCAATATTATATATTTGCTGGACTGAGGAATATTGACACAGCATTGTTATCTGTTATGCAGAGAAAAATGGATATATTTTTTTAAATTGATACTTGCATATTTTACATATTGATCCTGATAAAAGAGTAAATATTTACTTTGGCATGGAATTAATTCAAGAATACTATGTTGTTGATTTTCAATTTATGAACATAATTACAAAATCTAGCTGTCTTTGCTTTAAGAAATACAGCTAGCAATATTGATCACCGTTATGTCTATGAGTATAATCACACGTGTGTATCAACACAATCATTAATGTCAGGTATATTAATTTTTGTTAATTTACATGCACATGATGTACTTAAAGCAAGACTTGCCCACTGTATGATTTTACAGTCATGTAAATACTGCAAACAGGGATTAATCTTGTCTTTTTTGGGGGGTGGGGGTGGCTCTAGGGTGGGGTTAGTGAGGGGAATGGGGAAAAGTCCTTGACAGAAAAAGTGTAATGTCTTCAGATTTTTCTTAGATTTTCTACTTTAAAATTGAATATCTATATCACATGTACTTTTCATATAATGCTGATTTACAACACATTATTGGATCTTTAAAAAAGTCGCAGTTAATCGCGGCCCCCCTGGAAATTGTCAAAACCATATAGGCGTAAATCACAGTTTCGTCTAGAAAATGTAAATATGTCTAATTGTTAATCCTTCCATTTTTATCCTACAAAATCTTGAAAACTTGTCCTTTGTAGGTGTAGGATATTCACGGGCTTTGCATTTTAATCTCTTTTTAGACTCCACTGCATACATAATTTTTACATAGTGCGGCCCCAGACCCCTTGCCTAATTTTGGCTGTGTTTTTAACTCCAATTCCGGCTATAAAACAGTCATATACCCTCCAATGCACTTTGAAAATCATGGATCTCTATGATTTTCATGCTCCTTCTCCTTATAGAAATGTTCTTGTCTAATGAGAATGTTGACAATTTTTACCATCATTAGAAGGATAATGTTAAAAAGGAGGAAATCTTCCCAGGAAGTTTTAACTTATTTGATTTTCATAGATTAATATAAATCTCGATCTGACTGTTTTTAACCATGTTTTTAATTATCTATGAAAGATCTGAAAAATTGTGAGTTTTTGCAATATTTATCAATTCTTTTGCTTGTGAACCAGTTATTTTAAATGTTGAAAATATCATAGGAAAATATGAGAAAACCTATTTTTTCTTCGTAGGAGTATGATAAAGAAAATGCTAGCATCTCAGATGAGAAAAGCAAGATGTTCATGAAAATATTATCGCAAATTGTCTGAAAACCATTAGAGAGCTTTCTTGTCGATTTTACAAATTTGTTAGGGAGTGAAATTAAACCATATATATTAGGTATCAAATTCAGATCTAGGTAAGTTGAGATATTTTTCAACCAGAGAGAGATCTCAATTCATATCTCAGGGATCTCAAGACAAACTCAGACTGAGTAACCGAATTATTTATGAGAAATCTGTAAAATTGTGACATTTTTTTTTTTGCTTAAAATTTATTCAGGTTTGAGGGATCTCAACTTTTTTTGTTTTGCAGGAATATTAAAGAAAATGCTAGCATCTCAGGGAAAAGCAGATTTCAGATCTAGGTAGGCTGAGATATTTTCAATCAGAAATTGATTTCAACTTTATCCCAGGGATCTCAAAACAAATTCAGATTTAGATAAGCTAAGATTTTTTTTAAACCAGGGAGTGATCTCAACTTGTATCTCAGGGATCTCAAATTCAGAGCTAGGTACATGTAAGCTGACTGAGATATTAAACAACCATTCCAATTTGTATCTCGGGGATATCAATTGCAGAGGTATATTAGGTTCTTTATTCTGTCAGAGATGTCCAACAAATCTCACTTCTGAGATAATGGTAATTTTCACATTTGAGGGCATCTGTAATTATAAAAATTAATAAAGAATTCAAGACAATCAATATTTTTGTCATAAAATGAAAAATGATCGAGACATATGCTTTTGAATGAATAAATACTGTCCTTCTGAAAAAAAATCCAGAAAGGCTGATTCAGAATGAATAAGAAGTAATAACGCACACAAAAACACATATTTATCTGATATATTATGATTATAAGATTTCATTATATACAGGACTACCAAGTCACAGATCATAATGTCTCTCCTTAAAAAATCTCTCAGGGGTTTCAATGCTAATCTTTTCTTTTAAAATTGCACAAAATTACGAAGTTATGGGTAATAGCATATACTTATCAAACATTGCCTAAAATTTTGATGTGGATCATTAACTTTTTTCCCCTCTCCTAAAACACATTAAAGTCAGCATAAGTAAGATATTATCAAATGCCACACATTTGTGTAATTATTATTTGAATACAAGCCATGCCATAATCATATAATCATGTCCTCTGAATGTATGGGTGGTTTAAATATCAATGATGGCCATTAAACACTCTCTGTTTTTTTCAAATATTATTTCTGGTCACAATTGATCACATTTTGAAGACCTTTAACATTTTTGTAAGCAACAAAAAGGATTTTTCCCCGACCGTAAAATGTTTATGCTAATCCGAGCTTATAGATAACCTGAAGGTAGTTTGGCCCAGCCATGACAGAATGAATTTCCGTCCCTGTTTATTGGAAAAATCTTCACTGAAGAATGATTTAGGGTTTGATCCATTACAAACACTCAATAACATCCAAGCTTTTCATCAAACATCCGAGACCATTTAAATCCTTTGGGATCTCATATAAAAAAATTTTCATTTGATTTCCCTTTTCAAATTAATTTTACAAAATAGAAGTATACTAGACCATAGGGAGAGACTCAAGGGTTATTAAAAAAAAAGGCAATCTTTAATACACTAAGCATTTTTTCAGCACAAACGAACTACCTGACAGTGTAAAGAAATCGTATTGACTCAGGCCCCGATTTTGACTGATTTTGCGTTTGCGGATTGGCTTTAATGGAGTAATATTGATCGATAAGTCTCATGTGTTTCCGGTCTTAAGGTAGTTGGGTAGATATCTCACACATACTTGTTGACCTTACATCTCAGGCCTTCAAGATAAGATAATGCAAAGGCACTCTCATATTTTAAAGGTACATTTCATGACATGCCATCTGGAGAATATTCACATTTGATAGTATAAAACCTGTATTTGTTCAATTTTGTTGATTGTTGTCCATGTAAATTATAAATTTTAATAACAAAGAAATGAAAGTTTAATGGATTCTGTTTTGAAACATCTCAGTCTCAAATTTAATGCTTTACAAGTTTGCAAGTCATTTTTTTTTTCATTAAAAATATTTTTAAAGTTTGTAAAGAGATAATATACGTGTATAGAGAGAAAATACTTGAAAAGAGATGTTATCTCCTTAACTTCAATGCTCCTATAGAGAAATAGCTACTTACTCCTACACACATTTTGATATCAGATGACTTTGAGAGAAAAATGCTTTTCAAAGGGAAGTAACTCTTATTCTCCATAGAATAGTCAATTTAATGATATTGGAAATTTATTCTTTTAATAAAAGAACTTTTCTTCACTCTTGCTAGAACTATTAATATAATACAAAATATAAATGAAAACTTGTCTAATGATATAATGTTGATGTTTTTTTTTTTTTTCATCTTATTTACAAAATTTTTGTTTTCTAATAATTACGTGCAGGTGTGCAGTTAATTGCCAGCTATGTATATGTATATGTATATTTCATTATTTATGTATATACCTCTCCAGATTATTTTTCAAAACTATTCAGCATAAATTTTATGTAAATGAGCTTCTTGATACACAGTCACTATTACACATCACTAAGCAATACATCCTTTATGTGGAATTCAAAAATCTTTTCAGCAATTTCAATGTTGCATATTAATCTTTTGGCTTCACGTCAGGAAGATTGCTTAAAAATATCTTATAAGACCCCATATTTTCAGAATAATAATTTCACTGCTTACAAAAATAAAAATGAAACATATATGTAGACTGATGTAGCATAAACAGTGTGAGAGAATCTAAAGAAAAAAAGGTTACGTAAAACACAGCAAATTCACCCGAAATATTAAAATGTATACATATGGCCTAAAATAAAAATTTGATTGTTTGCAGTTGCCGACCAACCCACTGAAAATGCACCCGACCCCAACTTTTTTTAACGATTTTGTAATTTTTTTTTTTTTTAAATTTTTCAGGATGTTGAAACTGTTTCAATTTCAATATTTGATGTTTCTATTAATCAGTGGTTTATAACAAGAGTGGAACTTATTCATGCTTAGTGGGCCTATGAGAAGCTCTATTATTTGTTATCTTGAAAACAATTTTTTCTCAAAAAAAAAAAAGAAAAAAAAAAGAAAGCCTACCTACCTACCCAGTCAAAAAATTATAGGTCGGCAACTGCAAACAAAGAATTTTTTAAGCTTGGCCTATGCTGTTAATAATGCATATTTGGGGGATGGGGGGAAGGGGGGTGTTAAATTCTCATTTCCATCATCTGAAATTTTGAATTAAGGAAATATAGTATTTTTTAATGTTGGTTATGTATCTAAAAACTTTTCTCCTTCAAGGCTGTTTGATTAAAAAAAATCTTTAAAAATTATTACAAAACATAAATTATATAACTTTGTATATTGTTTTAAATAATTTGATTTAACAAATATTTGGTTATCATTTTTTTAGCTACAGAGCAAGCATGAGTGGGGATACTAATATACCTCGGAGCAGAGAAGCAATGGAATTGCGTGCAATACTTCAGGGACTGCAAGACAACCGCTGGCCCATTGTGTACAACTCGGAATCGGGAAGCTTTGAAAATCGCAGTAGTTTTGGGGACCAGTTTACCAGACCCTCCTCTCAGCAATCTAACAGAACTCAAACTTCACTAGGGTAGGGCTCATTTGGTTGTCATATTAATACTGGGTACTGGCTCATGATTGAAGAAATCCATTTGTATTGACTTCTCTACTAATATATCTGATTTTCCGTAAAAAAAAATTTCCAATTTGAAAGTATAATTGTAATTTAAATGATAATAATTTAATTCATGGTATTTGATTGGATAAAAAATTTACTTCATATCGTATAAAATGGTTGCTACGTAAAGTGTATGTGTCTGTTACACAAATTTTGTACAAATTGAAGTCAAATGGCTCATTTTTTTTTCTTACATCAAATGAATGAAAATTGAATTATAAGCAATGAATTTAATAGCTACCCATTCTATACGGTATAAACTAGGTTGGAACAGTTTACGCTTCGCGGTTTATAAAGCGTAAACTGCCCCAGATAAGAGTTTTTGTAGATGTTGACATGCTGTTTTAAATCTCATTGTAGAAACTCTATATAAATTTTTATGTTTAGCAAATTTAGCATCTCGTAAAAATTGGTAAATTATCTTTAGCGAGATGTAATTTTAGCAATTTGAAAATGCTCACTAATAAAGAAGCTATTAAAAATGAAATGCAATTAATTTTTAGCTAAATTCAATTTTTTTCTGGAGACAGATTGGTTTTAAGGTTATGAAATTAAAAACACACAGAAATTAAAAAACAACATATAAACGCCCCATTTATCCCCTGTGTACACTTGCAGCAAAAATATAAAATTAACCTTGTCATTGTTTTAGTTAGGAAATTACATGTATAGTTTTTTAATGTCTTATAGTTTAATAAAAAGTGGCCGATGAAAAAATTACATGACCTATAATTTTGTCTTTTGTACATGAAATTTGTACATGTACAAAAATATGAAAAGTTAACACGGCCAATAATTTTGTCTTTTGTAAACGTACATTTCTTGAAATTTGATTTTTTTGTCAACTTTTAAGAATTGTACATGTACATTTTGTCTTTTCGTGAAAGAACTTTTTATATTTTTGTACATGTACAAATGTTCTGTAAGAGACACAAAATAATAAATCTTTGTTTATAACAATTAAAATTTGCATTAATGCTATTTCCAGGTAAAGCCTTGTACACCTTTCTATCTGCTATATAAAATGTTATACTTTTGTTTAATGCAAGATAAGATGAGAAAAACTCAAAATAGTCACAGTATGTTCCATGTTTAGCCTGGATGTCATTTTCAAAATGAACCTGCAGTTTAAATGGCAATGGATAAGTGATTTAACAAAAAATGAAAGTTTCCACAGACTTTAAATCCTCTCTGACACACACAGACAGATGACAGGCTCTTTGTTGCTAAGTACCTTGTCTATATATATAGATATTATTAAAGTCGGGTTTTCACACCTGTAATATTTTGTTGCAATGTGAATTCATTGTTACCTGACAGGGTACAATATAAAGACGATAAATAGCTTATGTCTGAACAGTTTTAAAGGCTGGGTCATAGTTCTTGCAGCTAGACAGCTTTAATTTTTTTTTTATTCTGTCTGATATCATTTTGAAATTGAATTTATCTTAAATGGCAGTCTTAAAAATTGATACCAGTTTAAATATGATAGGTAGTGAAAATATGTTATATCATATGAAAAGCAAAGAGGGACCCGATTTCATTTTGATCAAATTTTGTGTATATATATCATGTAAATAATAATTATCCCAGCTATACTGTAAACCAAATCTTTTATATAAGAAGTTTTGTACGTGAATAAAAGTAGGTTTACAGTATTGTTTATGATAAAAAATGTACATATTTTTTATAAATATGATAAAGACTTGTAGAAGAAGCATAAAGATAATGAAAAACTAAATTTTCCAAACCTCCAATTGCTATGCATGCAATTATAAGTAGCAGTGTTATGTATATTGACATTCAGTGTTAAGAGTGAAACATTTTTAAAGGATTTTATTCATGTATGAAGAATCTTTTTTGTTATCTAGAATATAAAAAGAAACATTTTCATTATACCAACTTTGCTCAGATAAATACACACTACCTGAATTTTTTCAGTTAACAAGTTTGAAAGAAATTCAATCTTAAATGCACTCAGTAAACTTAATCAAATAGATCTGCTGTTATAAGAACTGAAAAAAGCAGTTCAATTCAGACAGTTGTCAAGTTGTTGACATATCATTAATTTTTGTCAAGGATTTGGGAATAAATATTTTAAATTAATATAACATGAAGATATTTAAAACTTTTTATGATAAAAATCCTTCTGGATTTTATTATTACTTTTATGAAGATAAATCTTTAAGATTTACTAATAAAGGAATAACACAACCTTGGATACTTTTCTTTTTATAAAGAATTTGATATTGCAGTACAAGAGATGAAATCCTTTGCTGTGGAAATATGATTTTGACCGACTTTGTAATTAATCTTTATTGTTATGTCATGATATCTAAACAAAGACCTTCACATTTAATACATCTACCTAGAGGATTCATACATAAAAGATTTAGGATTATTCAGGGCAGGGGATCACAATTAAACAGTTGCATCTGGGGTGACAGTTGGGGGGGGGGGGGGGCAAAGCCCCTGAAATATTTTAGGTGATTTTTAGCTTAATTTAGCTATACCTAATTTTTATTACTGAAATAATTAACTTATTAATCTTATGCATATTTCTTTTCATAGAAGGAAAAGGGGAGGGGCAACCCCATATTGGGTCTTGAGTTAAAGTATAAGACTAACATTTACACCCAACCTTACCATCCCCCTTCCAAAATAAAAAGACCAAAAAATTGCCATTGAACATTTTATTTAATATGAAACAATGTGGGCACCAATACATGAAACATGTTTCATTGAATTACCTTTACCATTTTGATAGAATATTGAGAATGCTGTTAAGCTATATGTTTACAAATGTTTATCTTTATTTTAATTTACAGTTCTGGAAGTACAACACCTCGTTCCATTTTGTCAGCAAGTAAGCTGAGAGCCTCTCTCAAGTCTTACAATACCTACATGGGTCGCCCTGCCACAGGTAAACCAGTGAAAAGAAGGCTAAAAATAAGTGCTTATGAAATGTAAAGTCAATTCAAAGGTGTTCATAATGTAAAGATATAAATACAATGTATCTACTGAAATAACATTTAATCCTTGCAGTAATTAAAAGGGATTAATATTTCAATGGGGCAAATATTATGTTCTGATGCTTGTAAAGTGCATGGAGAAATGTCAAGAAAGCAGAGATATTGACCTCTTATTATATTTAGTGTGTATGTAATTGCTTATTGGCATGCATCAGTGTTTGTATTTTTTTTTAAAGAATTGGTTTTATTTATTTTTAATGCTGTTTGTTTCTTCATGAAAATATTCTTTAGTTTAAGTTCATTGACCACTGAGGTACAGTGTAAATGGACTAAAAGACATTTAAGGCTTGTCAAGTTAAAGATTCGAGGCAATTAGATATCCACTAGGCATGCTCAAATTTGAGACATTTTAATGAATACTTTAATTTGAAAAATAGCAATTTGAAACATTTTTATCTGTTATAGCATATACATGTATTTAAGTGAATGATTAGATTGATGTTGTTCTTGAATGTCTTTGTTACATAATTTTACACAAGGTCAATAGTATTAAAAAAAAATAAATAAAACTATACACATATTAATCTCATACAATAAGTTAGAAATTATCAAAAAATACATCACACAGAGTACATTCTCTCTGTTACATCATCAAGGATATTTGTAGCTTGTCTTGTAAAAATACAACTGAACTTAAAAAAAATTATTTAGTAGATTTTGTTCTGCTTTTATTAAATATAAAAATCATAATCTTCAAAAAAATTAGTATTTTTTAGTGTACAATTAAAGTATACTGTAGAAGGAGTCAGCAAGCTAACAGTTCCTCAAGAGCAAGCTTAAGCTTTATATAGACCAATGTTCGTAAGGCAATGTTCTTATTAAGGAAAAACAATAGAAATATAAAAATAAGTCAATTGATGTGTGAATCACAGTACTTGTGAAAACAAATGTAGTCAAATGATGAGCATGATAGTAGTAAGCTTATAGTAATAAATTTTAATTCTTTTCCATAAGCTTCTATAAGCAATAGTCTCTAGAAAGACCTGCTTTTGGTGGTTGTTCCAATGCTTTTGCTATTTTGTGTCTTTGAAAATAGATGATACAGTCAAGGAAATTAGAGCCTCTCTACCAACAGTCACCATTCGCCATTCCTCAGCGCCTTCTAGTGGATCAAGGTCTTCTGATATATTTTCTCCTGCGAGAGGAAAACGTCGAATCAAATCCTCCATTTCAGGAGGAAGTATTGTGGAGGAGGATGAGGGAGGTCTTCCTCTCTATTATGATCCTTTATCAGGTATGGAAGGATCCTCAATAGCCTACACAGATTCCACAGACCTTGGGCCGCACATGTACACATTTGATCTGGCATCAGGTGAAAGTTCACTCTTTGATGTGGGAAGTCAAGGTGATGGGTCAAAACCTGCAGGTGATGGGAGTGTGGATGTGATTGATGAACATGAATCTGAGTCAGATGTAGAGGTGTTAGATGTTCCTGGGCAAGGTAGCTCTAATGTGGCTAGTGTACCTGAAAGTAGTTCTAACCAAATACAGGTGGTGGTGGAAGATCATGAAACTAACACAAAAGATTACTCTGCACAATATGATTTTGATGTAGATTCTGTTAAGGGTGGTGGTGATGGAATCCCAAGTATTATAATTGGTGATGGTGTGTCTACCAATAGTCTTGCTGATATGAGTAGTGCAGTAAGCTCCCAACCTGATCCTATTAGCGAAACTGACAAATTTGATACTGAGACCTGCACAACTATCAGTGAAGAGCTGATAGAACCCCCAGTGGTCAATAAAGTAGATATAAAAACTATTGCAGGAGTAATTCCAGAGGAAGAGAGTGTTGATTTGGGTTATAGTGGTGAGGGTGTGCACATTCCACAGGGTAATGATGAAGTGGATGATGGTGAGCTTGATTGGGAAGAAAAGGGTGAAGAGGCAGCTAGCACTGAAGTGGACTTGGCACGATATGGAGTTATAGGTGATGAAGATAATGGTGAAGGTGATGAGATAGAAGAAAGCACAGATGCAATAAAAATTTCACCAAAACCAGAAACTTTACAAGAAAAATCTGCTGCACGTACACCATCTCCCATAAAACCTACTTCAGTATCTCCTAAACAGGGATCAGTGTCCCCTCAAAGAAGGGCTTCTTTAGCAAAACCAGGGTCTAGGGCATCTTTAAAGTCCCCATCTCCTCATCTTCAAAAATCTCCAATCCCTTCGAAGAGAAAGTCCTCAATTTCACAAGGCAGTAAGAATTCCCCCTCCCCTGCTCAAACACCTGATCATAATGCATCTTCCACTGTTGAGCTTGCAAAACCATGCCCCTCACCTGAAATTCTAGGGAAAAATACTCCCCCCTCTGTTACAATCACAAAAAAGCAATCGCAGACTCCAAGCAATCTCCTCTCTGACAAGGCTCAAGAAGAGCCACCCGCAACAACTAGTCAACCCGCAGACAAATTACCCCAACCTCTTTCTGAAAACAAACAATCAAAGGACATGGTGGACAAAACGTCCACAAAGTCTGATGATGCTCTTCCAATTGCACCAACCACTAGTCCAATTCATAGGGAAATGGATGCACTTGTTGCACAACCGGCGCAAGCTATGGAAAAGGGAGCACCTTCACAAGAGACTGGCAAGACAGATATGAAATCAGAGGAAGAACCTACGAAAGGTTGGTTTGCCTTTTTTTCCAAAGCACCTAAAGAAAAATAAATCTCTGTTCTTATGAAAATTCAAAAAATTATAAAATGCCCAAAAAATTGAAATAAATTAAGTGGTTTATGAAATTTGGATTTAGTAATATAGATTATTAAATGTTTTCAATAATAAGATTGAATTCGAACTTCTTTCTCACAGGGATATATTTCATTCTAAGTAATAGGGTATAGTATATATTATACATAAACTCAACAGTGTTCACCTATTTAAACAAAAAAGAAAACCCACCGTGCATGTCACATTATAAAGATCACTCAGAATTGTAACGTTATATAATGTGTAATACTTTTAATTGATACAATGTATATATTCAAAGAAAGAAAACTCTTGCATGTTATTTTCAGCATGATATGTCCTTCCAATATGTTGTAAAGCACAACATTGGCTGTCTTCCCTTCATATAATGGCATGATAATTTATCTATATTATAAATAATGTTGTTGTTGTATATGGCTATTGGCATACACATAATTGCAAATTGAAATACTCTTGCAAATTGGCTTAGTTAATTAAAATTATTTTGTCTTAATGGGTTTTACTATTAATTTTGGGGTCATGTTTATACATTTTTGGTGATTGTTGTATTTTTTGGTGAATCATGATTACTGCACATTATTAATTATTATTTCAACTTAAAAAAAATATACTCCATATTTTTCAAAGGTTAAGTCGAGAAAGATTTTATTTTCATATTCAAAATAATGCAAGGTTCGGCAAATTTTTAAAGCTTTATAAATATATATTTTATTAAAAAACAGAAGAGGAGGAGGAGGTATCACCTGAAATATCAGCTGAATCTGATGATGGTAAGAATAGTTTTATTTTTTTAAAGAATATGTATGTATATATTTATTTACCTCACTTTATACTTTTTAAAATATTATTGAAGTAGTACATGTAGTCTCTGCGAAAAACCAAACTAGGAAATTCTATTATAATATGAAATTAATCCTAAATTTATCTTGTTCATTAAAAAGTACATGTATTAGGCCACCGTTTTCCAGAATAATGAATGAATTCATGCAGAATAATTAAATGAAGATTATCTGTGCAGAAAATAGTTCTTTGTTTATTTGTTCCATGCAATACTCAAATTTCTTCATTTTATCAAACAATTTGGTGATTGCATGCTTATGTGCCATTGCTTTGGATTTTCTTCTATTAAAACGTAAAATGCATGCTTTTAAAGGTGTAATTATGATTTTCTACTTTTAAAAGGAACAATGGAAGCAAGCAAAAGGCTTGATTTTACTTTGTTGTTTACCATCAACAAATTTGTATTAAAACTTGAAATTTTAATTAACAGATAGTTAGCAGAACACTTAAATATGATTAAAAGTTAGCAGACAATGCGTTCTTGAGTATTATATTTCTCCCATGCATGTCATTTCTATTTGAACTTCGCTGTTTTAATTTGATTTCGAAGCAGGGAATTTTTTATGCACTTGAAATTGAATGGAAAGGTAATGGCAAGGGGTAAAAAAACCTCAGCAATTGACCATGCCTGCATACAAAAGAATTTACCCTTAAATGACTCTAAATATTATTTGATATGTTTATTTTATTCTTTAATATATGTCTGGATATGGAAAGTGGATTGATTGTGCTATGTTTGTGTTTCGACTTTAAGAGCTATAATTTCACTTAATGGTTAACACAGATATAGCTAATTCAGTGGATTTAATCCGCTAAAAATGTTTACTTAATCTTTTTGGGCATTCTCTGATGCATTTGGTTTAGGATGAAATCCGAAAGCATGCATGGGAACAGTAAAGTGGTATCTACACTCATTTTGTTATGGATTCCATCATGTTTAGTCTTCGTGTTCTCAAATTTACTTTTTATTTACATTTGAATTCGTTTGTAAATTTTGAACCTGTTAAATATATAACTGGAGATTTCTGATGGATGAAATTTACTTGTGATGACACTTGTACGTGTTTCTGATTTTAAAGGAAATAACTGAAAGTGCTCCACCTTAGTGCTTATGGAATACTAGATTTTACTGAAGAAATAATTGGATGGTTCCTGTTCATTTTATTAATTTGAAATCAAAAAGACAACATTAATCTTTGTGTATATAGATTAATATTAAATTCTGTTTTGGAGTGGTTGAAACACAAATATATTTGCCAAAATGGGAATGGATGCTTTTACATTTTATATGCTTTTTGTTAAAGATAAACGCAAGAGGAAGCCACTGGAATCGTAAGTTTATTCAAGCAAATTGACCACTATCAAAAATTGCCATTATATTATTCAAAACTTTTTTTATTTGAAGGATATACTAATTGAAAACTATTAATCAAACTTTAATTTCTTTTTTATTACATGTGCAACAATATTTTTATTTTATTAAATTTTATGTTCCATTCTTTTTAGCCATTGTTTTATTATTTGTTATTAAGCTAAATTTCTTTTTCTGAGTTTAAATTTCAATTATATATTAATCTTCTCAGTTCATTATTTAGATTATTCAATTTGAAAGTTCTCTCAAAAGCATTTAAGAAGATACTTTTTTCATTATAGCAATGATGTCAAGAAAGAATCGGAAGAAATCGGTAAGTGATTATCTATTATTGTTTTTAAAAGATAAATATATATGATATACAATGGAAATCATACTCATGCAATAATAAACACATTTTATTTATAAAAGAAGTTGAAACAATAGCATTATTTAGGTATTTCAGTACATTTTTACCATTGTTTAGGTGGCACAAAAGAGAAAGAGGCAGAACCGGCAGCCCCTACAAGACTTATTGACCAAATGCCTGTTATTCCTGACTATTTGAAACCGAAGCCCCAGAAAACGGTACTAGTAATTTTGTCAAAATGACATCAAGTCTGAAATTTTAATAAGTCTTTTGAGAGTGATACTGCACTCAGTGCACAGGTACATAATTGGGTCATAATTTCTTTTTCGTTTTCATAAAATTACATAAAGAGCATAAGACTATTTTGAAAAAAAATGTAAAGAGCAATACAAAACCCCTAAAATCACAGAAAAAAAAACATCAAATTAAACATTAGTTAGGCATACTTGTTTTATCCTATAGGGCAAACATATCTATATTTGTTTAATCTTAGCCAAAGATGAAAGAGAAAAAGACCAAGAAGCAGACTCCAACAAAGACAAAGAAGGATGTGACGAAGGCCATATCTGTGTCCTCAGTGCAGCCAGATTCTCAGAGTGCAGAAAAGGTAATTCATATACTGAAGTAGATAAGGGTTGAATGAAAATATTTCTAAGAAAGTTGTTGTTAGAAGTTTGACTAATTTTATGGACGATTTTAATTCTACCACCTTTCAAATATTATCAAATTAAATACAAATGTATTTTTGAAGAAACAAGACATAATTTACTATTATGGGAATAAGTTTTCTTTCTTTTTTTTTGCCAAATTGTCATATTTGTAGAAATAAAATAGCATTAGACAGAGAATGAATTAATTATTTATTATACAGTTTATATTTTACATGGCTTTATATTTGACAAGTATACATAATAGATTAATAACAGCTTTGCATTTTGATGTTAAAGGCTGCTCCTAAAGTATGGGAACATGAGAAAGTTGAGATTCCACCCGAGAAAGAGGAACTGGTCATCCCAGAACACATGAAGGAAGCCTTTGACAGAGACACAGAGCAGTCCAAGACAGCGCTGGAGGAACAAATGAAACAAAGTAAATATCGGGACTGGTGTTTCTAATATACAGAGAAATCATTTATAGAAAAATCGCACATGTCAATCTCAGGAAAAAGAAATTTTATCATTTCAAATTACATGAGAACATATCAATTACGCTTGAAGCTGTGCATTATAAAGAAAATCATTTTAACCTTAAATTAATTGAAGGACTTCAAATTTAGAAAGGAAATCCATTTTATTAAAAATCTTTACTTGCACCTTTTTGACATATTTTTGTTTCTCACAAACTTACTTTACTTACAAAATAAGATATACATTTACTAACAGTTTGTCTATCATTTTGTTTAGAAAATAATTACAGGACTGTGAAATCATTTACAAAGGGTAAGAATGTGTCTGTTGGTGGGATATGGAAAAGGAAATAAATTAATAAAAATGTTGAGACATCATGAAATTATCGAAATATAAAACGGATATCTTTTAATGCTTAGAGACATGTTTATATCACCAAACCCCATCTTTATATATGTGTTTATATGTATATCCTATTAACAAGTTGATAACCTTAAATTTTCATCTACGGAAATCTTCAAACAATGTCATTTTAGAATCCTTTAGTTCAAATATTTATATCTATTATACTTTAACTCCCCATACCCATACTATATGAGAAATTCATATCTTAATTATCAAATCTTTTATGCATGCAAATGACGGAGTACAATTGCAAAGTACATTGTAGAAATAGTGTGCATGGCACAACCTCAAGATTTCTTTTTAGCAAATATTTGTATGTCTATAAATGAATAAACATCAGCAACTTTCCACTTCTTTTGCTATTACACATGGTAATGTATAAGGTATCAATAAAAAAATGTCACCATTTCAGCGCGCAGTTTTCTCTATGAAGTGTATATAAAATAGAACTGAGATGATTTTTTTAGAGTTAGAAAAAGAAATTCACTGGGTATTCGCTTGGAGTGTCGGATAAATGTGGAAGACTAACTCTGAACAAAAAAATCTATTATACATTCACTGTTTTAGTAGCTGCAAATTAAATCAACACCTTTTCTTTTCTTGAGAGTTATAAAAAATAAAGTAAAAGTCAAAAAGAGGAGAAATTGAGATGACTTAATTATAGAGACATAAAACGAAAATTAATCTTTTATTAGCTCCTGGGTCTAATCACACACGTTTTTAACAATGATCATGAAGGTAGTTGTATGAAACGAATGTAATGAATGGGAAATTTTTATAAATAATTAGGAAGCAATTTGCTGTTGCATTGTCAGTGATCAGTGTGCATTTCATCCGGTAGCTATTGATTCTCGCACCTGCATTATCAAGATATAACATGGAATGCTCAGAGCTGTTTCTTTGGCATTGTTTTAGTGGCGAATGTCGTGGACGGTACCTTTAAAACTACCATAGATGCAGAGTTATTAGAAGTTGGTCTCACAGAGGAGGAATTACTGGAAGCAAAGATGGAAGTGGAGGTATGTTTTCACATTACAATAAAATATGTTTTTTCGCTAAACTACTCAGATTTTTAAACTTCCTGGATTAACATAATTTTAAAATAAATAAACTCTTATTAGACGATGAAAAATACCCGAAATGAGCAATTAAGTTTTAAAGAACTTCAGATTTTTGTAATGAAAGCAAGTTATTTCGATTTTAAAGAAAATTGAATCATTGCACTTTCTTTTGTTAGTAAATTTAAATAAATATTATATCATTGACCGTTCCTTAACATACAAATTTGGCATGGATTGCGTACATTTTTCTCATATGAGAAATAATATAAAATACCTTTTCACTCTTATTGTAGGAAAAGCTTACAGTTGCACAAGCAAGGATAGAGGAAATGGAGAAATCGGGACCAGGCGAATCAGAGGAAGCAAAGAAAGAACAAAGAGAAAAGGCTGTGAAATTAAAAGAAGGGAAAGGCAAGAAAAAGGGGGGCAAAGGTAGCAAATCTACTCCAAGAGACCAAGCAGCTAAGGGACAAGCTAAAAATGAAAAAGATTTAGAAAAACAGGTTTGTTCCCTACTTCATTTTGATTTTTTTTAATTTAAGGTTGTAATAACTATTCTGTATAAATTATTGCAAAATGTGCATGTATGATTTAAAAAGATTGTTCAAGCTTACTTCAAAGAGTTTAACTGAGAAGGTATATTATATTAAATTATCGAATTCTTCTTTCCTTTTCGTGAACTGAAGAAAGTACTCAAAAAAGAGCAAAAGAGAGCAGAAGAGAAGGTAGCTGAAAGCCTGTATTAACACATGTTTTTTTGAAATCCTATAACCAACACACTTCCGAATCAAATTAATTTTTACTTTCAATTGATTTTTGCTGAACTTGTTCTTTGCACTTTTTTAGCATATAATTTTGACAAGTGCCTTATTTCCATGAATATTATTCATTGATATTTTTCTAATTCACATCATAATCAAGTTATAAACTTTAAATCTTTTAAAATACATGTATTCAATTTAGTTATTAAAAAAAGCTTAAAGAGCCATTAAAATTATTTTAACTTGTAATTCATTAAGTCCAAATGTATGAAGAATGATGCAATCTTTTCTTTTGGCTGTTACAAAAATGTTGTTAAAAAAGTACAGATGCAAACATTTTAAATTTGAACAAATTTTCAGATGGAACTTTTTATAATAAAGGGTAATGAAAGCTAGAAGTTTTTGCATTTAATTTTAGCCTAGATAATTACCATGATGTCATGTGTTAATATTTATCTGAATGTGGCTTATAAAAATAAGTTGTGGAAAACTACATGTAAGAGCTAGTCATTAACTTTTGTTCATTTTGTTTAAAACAAAAGTTTGAACCTAACAAGTACTTATAGAATTCAGTTGATTTCAACATTCTAAGAAGCACATATGACTTCAATCAATATTGAAAAAGAAAACTTCTAATGTCATAGATTTTGCTAGTCATCTTAGTTCATTAAATTCATTTATCATCTATTTAATTGATACACAAGGAATTTAATCGATTTTCTTCCCAATTGTCTAGAATATATGCAATATTCATAGCAGCTTTATTTTAAAGTTTTATGATTCATTACCGAATGAAACTTCTTAGAAGAAAATATGAATGTTTTAATTTGATTAAGCATAGTATTTATTTTAACTTATTTTCAGATTTGTTCTAATAATATTCTTTTACGTGCAATTAACATAATTAGTTTTTGGTTGGCTATTGAATGTGATAAAAATGTAATAAAATTTTGCACCGTGTGCTTGGTTAACCAGTAATAATAGGTATAATCACTTATTTTACAGCTTTTCCATGCATTTATTTCTCATTAGTTAAATATTCGAAAAAAAATGAGAACAAATAATTTTTATCTGATGCCTTTTTTATAGTTTGATATAAAATAAAATACATCCGAGTTTCTTTTAAGATCGTTGTTTTTGAAGGAACTTTTTAAAAATACACAGCAATTTCGTTCTGGTGATTTTAGGATATCCAGTTTTGCCGCTAATAACATGAATAACTGACTGTTTTGTCAACATTTTCATCTTGTAGAGAAAATTAGAAGAAAAACGTAAGTTACAGGAGCAAATAGATGAAAGACAGGAACTTGTAGAAGAACACGAACAGAGAACTCGAGATAAAGAATTGGTATGTAAATTCAGAGTAAAGGACAACGATCTTATTTGTTAATTAAAACGAAATAACATGATTACCTTCTGATATTAAACGAATGACACATCAAATCTGTCTGTAAAAAAATGAATATGAAAGTATGAATAAAAATATTCTGCTTTAAAATAAATTTGATGTTTGATAACGTTAAAGCAAACATATAACATTAAAAAAAAAAAGTTCTATAAATGCTGATTCGATACAAAGAACAAGCATGGGGAAATTATTGAACACTAATATTAGCACTATACAATAAATCATAATCGCACACATAAATTATCTAATTTTCTACAAAGAAACGTGGCAAAAAGAATGACAAAAAGGTATTTATCACTGTTGCACATGGGGTCCCGGGAATCTGTGTTGTCTTGCAGAATGTAGAAATCTCATATGCCTGTTGCACAGATGTAATATGTAGGACAATATGATGGATCCGGGATAACATAGACTTGCTTCCGTAAAACTTTTTCTAGTATTTTGCATAAGAGGAAAGCTGAATCGATTAATCCAAGTCTTGGAAAATTGATTCCACAGTTTGATTGAATATATATCGAGAAAAGTATCTTTAGGTAACTTTCAAGACTCACTTCTTATATAGGAAATTGTTCATATGCAATAGGAAATATTACGACAAAATTAATCACTTGAAATAGGAATCTAATCTAATCAGACGTAATTTCTTAAAGATACGTGCATGAAGACTGCAGAATAAAGAAGTTGATATTTTAGTCAATAGTTTGCTTGATTATTAACAGGAAAAAGGTCTGTCATCAATCTTGATTCAGACAAAAATTTCATTACTTGATGACAAAGACTCTTCGTCAGATGAAGCAAGTATACACTACTGGTAGAACTTTTGGTGGATGTTATTATTGTAGATAATTTGGAGGAGGTTTCTTTTATAATTGCAGGATTTGTGTTTATTTACTGAACCTGTGAATAAAAATTCAATGCATGGTAAAGGCAAGTTAACATTTATTCTGAAATCATATGAATACTGTGTGTATCAAGAAATATGATTATTTTTGGTTTCACAAAAAGAAATAGTTAGAGTGGGGGTTTTCTGTTTTTATTTTATTTCTTATTTTAATGTCCAACAGCATCCGTTTCAAATTTTTCAAAATTGAACTCGATCGACAGTTATCTACAGTAACTTTAACAGAAAATAAAAATTAAACCAACATTTGAGTAGTAGTATTTTTAAAAGTTATAATTTATACACAGGAACTCAAGTTAGAAATGGATCGTTTAATGAGGGAAGAGCTAGAAATGCAGGAAGCAGTAGACGAAGTCCATAAATATCTGGAAGAATCCAGAAAACGACAACGGGATGAAAGGGATCAGAGGAGAAAGGCAGATCAAGAAAAAAGGCGGGAACAGGCGCGGGAAAAATTCGAACAGGAAAAGAAGAAGAGAGAGGAAGCCAGCAGAAAGGTGATGGAGGAACTGGATAGGATCCACGACATGGAGATGAGGAAGCAGAAGAAACTGGAGGAAGAGATGAGAAGGGAAGAGGAAGAGAGGCTGGCCATTGAACAAGCAGAGGTTCGATTTTTTAACTAAAAAATAATTATATACTTTAGAAAAATAAGAAGGAAGGATTTAGAATATGGAATGTTATAGAAAGAAAAGAATGATAGATTTGAGGATAGAAGTGATTGTTCTCTGAATTATCAACAATGCTGATTCTATATAGTAACAACAGCAAAGGGAAACAGAAATATGGAATGAAACTTTGCAACATACCATTTTTGTGAATTTAATTGAATGACAATTTCATGGAATGAAATAGTCATCAGAAATATATAGTAAAAGACTTATGGTTTATTTAAATAGGAAGAGGAAAATGAAAGAGTGAAAGCTGCAGAAGAACAAGAACGAAGATTAAGGGAAATTGAAGTACAGGTACGTATACATTTACATGTATCACATTGCGACAGCTGCTTTCTTTGCATTATTAAGAATGCAAATCTATACTATAAGTTTTTACTGTAATAATATGTTCATAAATAATTCAGTCTCTAGGTCAAGTTAAGTTGCTATCTATTAAAGCATCATAATGCTTTAGTTTTATCATGTTTTGTTTTTTACTTGTAGATGGAAGAAGAGGAAATGCAGCGGTTGTATGTACAAGAACAAGAAATCAGTAGGCAAAGAATATTACTGGAAATGGAGCGACAAAAAATGGCAGAGGAAGAGGAACTGAAAAGGTCGGCCAATTTCATTATAACAGATGTTTTGACATTATATATTTTCTTTTATCTTTATTCTGAACATAAATTATCTCATTTTCTACAATGAAACGTGGCAAAAAGAATGACAAAAAAGTATTTATCACTGTTGCACATGGGGTCCCGGGAATCTGTGTTAAGTAAGATTCACGTAATGAATTGACAAGTAATGAAACAACTTCTCAGCGTATTTTTATGCCATTACCTGATGTATTAAAACATGACTGTATCATTTTTTTTTAAATTCAGCTTTGGAATATATAGAATTTATCTTATATTTTTGTTGTGTATTTAAGACAAGAGCTGTTGGCAGAACAGATGAAGTATGAGGAGATTAAACGTAAACAGGAAGAAGAGGAACAAAGGGTGTTAGAGGAACAAAGAAGAAGATTATTGGAGGTATGAAGAATTATTCTGGCTTTTTAGAAAATTAAATTACCTTTCTTTATGTAGCATGAAAAGTGAAAAGAATAAGTATCAGGTTTACAATTCATAGTTATAATTTTATTTTTTCCAATAAAGATAGAATACCTGACTTAGTGTAACACAGCAATGTTTTTTTTCCCTTTATTACAAATATACAAAAAATTTATTATGGGAGCAATTTGAGAAGTTATGTAGACAACGTAGTACTGTTAAATCACATATTTTTTATGGTTTGAGTAAAAGCTCTTGGTTCATGGATGTAGAATTGCTGAGTAGTTATGTATGTAACATTTTACTTTTCATGGTGGACATTAATTCATGGGTCTCTTTATACCTCGAAAACAACAAAAATTAACCCCCACGAAAATTTGTGATTTCACGATATGTATTTACAAAAAACTAAATAATTCCATAAAATATATATTACAATGGACTAATTTGCCTTGAAATTTTTAGTTAAAAGAAATGGAGGAAGCAGCAAAGATAAAAATGCAGCAAGACCTGGAAGAGAGGAGAACCAAAGCCTTAGCCAGAAGAGACGAGAATTTGGAAAACAAGGCCAACATGGACAAACTGAAGCAGTCCCAGGGCATCACCAAGGCTTGGGTCTTCTCCTACTTTGTACGCTGGCCATTAGAATCCTACATGGTGTAAGTAGATGGTCTAGAAAGTTGAAAATTTAGCTCAGTGTAAATGCCTTCAGATGTTCAAGTTTCAAAATTTAGGATTTTGAATGTATGTAATCTTAGAAAAAAAAATTCAATGATATTTCAAACTGTTCGTTGTTAGTTTTATTTTAAAACACTTTTTTCTACAGATTTTATGATAGATGAAGTTTATTAAAAAAATGTGGATATGTTAATTAAAAAAATTATTAAAAAATTGTACACAATTATATTATTAACAAAAAATAATGTTATTCTTGATAGACCTATTGGTGGAGATGAAACAAAGAAGAAAGGATTCAGACCAAAATCTAATAGACCTAAAACTGCAAAATGATTGTTATTTTTTGTATCTTAAATTGGAATAAATGACAAATAATCAGTGCATCTTCAAACATTGATTACAATTTTTCTTTATGTTTTAAAATTGAATTATGTTCATGTCTCAGAATTTAAGCAATCAATGAAATTGTAAATAAATTCTATATTTACTAATTTATAATTCAGCTGTATTTGATGAAAATGAAAACAGGGTCATGCATGCACATATTTTATGTAAGGTCATATTTTGCAATTGCATAATTTTGATGCTTGGAATAATTTATATATTTATTTTTTTTGAATACAATCTATATAAGACATTGTACAAAAGGGAAATATGATTATTTATGTATAAATTTTTATAAAATAACTTATTGATGAACATATAATTCTTGACGTCAAAATATGAAGTTTTTTGTTATTAATTTTTATGAAATACATGTAGATATTTTTCACAAAATTGCATGAAAAAAGCTCAATAAAACTATTCTCTTGAGGTTTTTTTTTTCGTAATTAATAAGTTGTTTTAGGTACATGTAGTTCTCTATTTTTTGTCTGTGATATTCTTGTTCATTATTTATAGAAATTTTTAGACAGATTTATTTTACAATCTTTATGATTTATATGCAATTTACTATTTTCTTTGTGTGTAAGAATTTTTTTTTTGTTGAAATTTTTTCACTTATCATCAACAGTTTCAATTTTGCAATATGTATTTCTTTAAAATTTAAAAGAAGTAACTTCTGCATGAGGTAATGTATCTTATTCAGATGTTGCATTTTCTTCTTGTCGATTGCAATATTCATTAAATTCTTTTTAATAAAATGAGGAATAATTTTCTATTTTTAAGTAACACAAATATATGATTAAACTGCAATTTTCATTGTCTTTTTTCATTCCTTCGTTTTAAAATTTGAATAAAAATCAACACCCCTATTGTTATGCCATTACCTGTGGCAGCTTCTTTATTGATGATGAGACATACTAACAACAGTTACTATGTAGTCGAATTCATTAATTCATGAGATATGGTATGAAATTCGTCACTAAAAACCACCTTAATAAGTTTTTATTTCCAAAAAGCTTATCATATGGTAATGTACAGAAATCTGCCTTTAATGATGCTTATTATAAACCTAGTAATATCAACTTTTGTGTCAGGAACTTGCTCTTCTTTTTAATGATTTTTTCTTACTTGAAAATTTTTTGGAATAAATTTTGCTTCCTCGAAACATTTAATTCAGATCATCAATGAAGGAGCACTATCAGTGTCCATCGCATTTCTAAATTCAAGTTTGAAGATCTTAAATCTCTGTTGAGGAGATTAATTTATTTTAATTCAAAAAATTTAATTTTCAAACAATTATTTTATTTAACATATGATTAACACAACTTCTTTTATATCATGTATCACAACACGTTTAAGTTTCTCCCTGGTTAATATTTTGTGGAAGCGTTAGAATAACTATTTGGTTGGACATTTACTAGACCCTGTAACATATCAAGGCTTTTCTTACAAAGGTTTAAAATCCGGTATAAGTTCAGCAAATTAAACCTACATATACTTTCATTAACTGAATTGGATAACGAATTTATGACTAAAAGCAAGAATATCCTCCAAGAAAAAGTCCTGTTAGTGCAAGATGGATAACTAGATGTCGGGTTCTATTCAAAAAGAGTTGTAACAATGATCCTTGCAAATAAATCCTATGTTACACGCTTTTTTATCTTGAACCAAAACATATTTTTCTGTTATTTTGTAATCCTTTTATCAAATAAAAACATACAAAATATCTGCAGAATTCTAGATTTATTCGTAAAACTATTATAATACGGAAGAACAAGTTTGGCGTTTGGAGAATTTATAAAACAAATTCTTTTCGCATATAAGATACACTCAAGCAGAGAGAGAGAGAGAGAGAGAGAATGATGTAACATTGATTTTATTACATTGTTTCCTATATTAGTTACATGCTCAGTGATACATTGTAAAACACAAAGTGTAACTTAGTAAAATACATATGTTAATTTTAGATATTTTATGATATTTTTTTCATATTAAAGATATCAATCTACATGTATTTTGAATCTTTGGTCTAGGAGCCCACCAAGATTCTAAAACTGTTAATTTCGATACTGTGCTAATTCCCAAAATATTTAAGATTTACATTGATGAATAACTTCATGGATTACTCATAGAAAGGAACGTGATTCCTTTTTACCTAGACGTATTTGTATCTTGCCCTGAAGCCCTTTGCTACGTTATTGGAGTTTGTCCTAAATAGGACCAACATAACGCGTCCATCGGAAGTCATAATGTCTGTAGGCCTGGTGCCACAGCAGAACCTGTAAAAAAGAGAATATTTGACGGTAGATATTGTCCTTCTGCAGATATTGTCGTCGACAAAAATATGTACTTACCCTCGCTGCACATATTGTCGTCCATCGGTCAGCGACACATAGCCATCGCTGACTACTCAAAAATTAATTCCTTACATTTTGAAATATTTATTCTTCGGTATTGATTTTAAGAGATGTTTATTCATGCCTTCAATTTTACTGCTTGTTTTTAAAGTATTCTTATATTTACCAAACATGGTCTAGTGGCAACACTACAACTTTCAAACATGATTATAAATTTTCCTGAACAATCAAAATATATTTGATTTCCTATGTTAAAAAGTGTGCACAGTCACATCTAACAAAGTTAGCTTTTTAAACAGTTAATCGCATACTTTTCAACTTGCTACATTAATATGTAGATAATTTTATCTGAAAATTACAGTTAGCAGGTATGTAAAATATATATTTTTAAGATCATTCTTCATCTGAAAGCAAAGGTAGGACATGCATGTTATAATCCACCTTAAAATATTTGCGAGAAAAGAAAATGGACTCTGTACATTTTAGAAAATTATTTTTCATTTATTTACCCAAACATTAAATTTGTATACATATTATTTTTTTAGCAAATCGTTTCAAGTAAGAATCTGGTATGATTATGAATTATTTTACTCTTATTGCCCTGAGATACTGCAATGATTTTCCTAACCCGAAATTACAATGTTCCCTAAGCTCGAAATAAAAAGATAAACATGGCAATACGAGTGCTGTTAAATCATCTTCTAACTAATTGAAGGATTGAGCATTAAAATTGTCAACATTTTCTTACCTTGGACCTGTGGCAGAGAGACTTTTGAATCGAACTTCTACAAAATCCAAACACCTCGTGTTGCAAGTGATACCAAACATGCTGAACTTTCTAGTGGTGCCTATATATATTACTCAGGTTTGTGAAGATCAAAATATCAATTTTGGTGTTTGTCAAATGTAATTTTTTTCCCATGAACAAATTTGTAAGGACTGTTTTTAAATTCACGAACACATACATGCAAGTACATAGAAATGCAAGTAAGCAACAGAATTACACTTATCCGTGAAGTTTACATTCAAATGTATCTTGAATAGAATTAGATGAAAACTCAATAAAAGTGAAAAAGTGTATAAAAAGAACAGTGATCCATCTAGAAAATCCTTTAAATACAATTATCTATGACAAGGCATAAAACACAAACCTGTAGAATTTCCAAAGATAATATATAGTCATTAAGCAAACTGTGTGGGATTCAAATGAGAAAAATCTCTATGATGGACGACTTTTTGAGATTAATAATACCTTAATCTTCCAGGTACATTCCGAAGCTGTTGTATACTGTCCAGGACTAGAATACCCTGGTGATCTGATGTATCTGTAGTTTGCTTTGGCAAATTTGTACTTTCTTCCACATCCAGAAGTTGCTAAATAAAAAAAAGTTCAAAACAGGAACCTTGATAGCTTTTATATTTGAGTGAAATGAAAACTTAAGACAAATAAATGTATTTGGTTAAATGTGTTTGATATTCAATCAAAATTCAATTGTTCTTCTTCTAATTGCCTTTTTGCTAATATGTGTCGAAACATGGGGTGCAATGTTTTATCTGTTTACGGTACATGTATCTGTATATTTTTCTTAAAATAAGTTAACTGTAACAATTACAATAAATTTTGACCTTCACGATCATTTTACCTGGGCCCTTTGGAAACTGACAATGCCGCCCAATCCAACCATCCGGGCATTTACATCGTCCGCAGCGTTTAGGATTCCTATACCCGCCATTTTAACATCTGCTCCATGTTAATCCTGCTGAGCATTTGCCTTTCATAAAACATGAAGCAAAATTATCATGTGAATTACAAAACAAAATAAGCCAGTTTTATGCAATCAAAATAGAGGTCTTAAGCATTTTCTCGAACTAAAAATGTGTCAACTCTAAACTTAACTCGTTTTTAGCTTTGTGTAAACGATTTTTTGACCCTGACCCCGATGAATCTTTTCAACAATCATATTGAAATTTTCTGAAAAAAATTCCCGTATATATACCGTGTACCGACCAAATTCTTTTACTCCGAATTCGGTCAGTGCAAAAAACTCTATTTAAAAGACAGTTGTATGATAAAAAATAATCTAAATTTCTGTGTTTTCTGTAAAATCTTATCATACCATCCTCCATGTTACATGTAATCACACAGTGTATATCAAATTCAAAGAAAGTAATTAAAACCTGTCGTTCTCACTCTGACAATAATGGTAGTTCATAGCTTTGATGTCATAGAATGATAATGCAATCCTTTGACCCATTGTCCTTTCATAGTTGTTTTGCTTGGCAATTATTGTTTTCAGCCCTGATGATTTTGCGAAAGCCTATTAAATTTTCAACCAAAAATCCGTTTTAATAAAGAAAAAAAAATTGAAACATGGAAACTTCATATAAAAAAAAATCTGAAACTGAGCTTTAATTAAAATGTACTTACAGTATCGGGATAGTGCATTACGGATCCGTAGTCGAAACGGGTTTCGTATGTTAGACTACTAGATTTGATCAAGAAATTGTGTTCATATCCGCTTCTAATATTACTGGTTTGCACGGTGACGTAATCGTTTCTGTCTGGTCTGCTTTGTTCGTGCCACATACCCAAAGCATGTCCGATTTCATGAAGGACGATTCCTAGCTAAAGTGAACATTTCTGTTTAATTTTGCATGAAAGATGTTTAACGTATCTTATTTTTTTTTAATTCCATAAAAAGAATACTAGTTTTGTCTTAAATTTACATATAATTTGAATATGATGAACAAATAGCATTTTAGGTACTTTATACTACACTCAAACAAAGTGATAAAAATTTAAAAATTTAAATACTCACATATTTACAACCATTTTGGAGGTTAATGTCATTAATAGCAGAGTTCCCTTTACCAACATAAGACCAGCACCTGTTAAAATAAAATAAAAATCAATTTCATATCTTAATGAGTAACTTTAGCAAGATCAGACGTTGATGGTTTTATCTTACTACATCAACAGATAATTATACATACATGCGTCGGAAATAAAACAAGATATGGAAAATGCTACATTATTTTTTAATTAAATGAGCTATTATCTTTTCAAGTACATATGCAATATTGCCCGCAGAATGGTTTGAGCGTCTGCTCTAGATATGCAGAGAAAGGAGTTGTTTCTTTACGTCACAGGTTCGAATCCACTACGGGACATGGAGACCGATTCTTCGGAGATGGCATAAAGCAAGGTCCCTTGTCACAACAGCTCTTGATATGAAAAAGAACCCCCATTGCTAAATGAACCTTACTCCCTTGTATAGGTATTTTTCAGCCTTCCATCAACAAGTGGTGGTCCATATGAATAAATAATTCTCGAGAGGAACGTTAAACAACATACAAACAAACATGTGCAATATAGCGAATCCAAGCTTTAATGAATATGAACGTTACCCAGATTCATTTTCCTTAAAGTTAATAGCTGGTGCAGTTATTGTTGTTGCCTCCGTAAATGTTATACAAGTCTGTTGCTGCCAGATAGAAACTGCTTGCCTAACCAATGCAACTACAAAATGGAAAAAAAGCATTTGTCATCTGTCTTCTTATTTATTCAGTCGAATCAAAATGGATTTATTTCTTCTTTCTTCATAAGATTAGTAATGATGGTCACGAACGATTATAAACAGGCATTTAAAGAGATTTCTAATTTTAGCCGACAACGCATTTATTATTATTCAGAATATCAAATACAAATGAAACAAATACTACTCTAATGAAAAAAAATGAAATTATCTTTTTTATAAATTTACAACTATTTATCATTACAATTAAAAATGTTTATTTGAACATCTTACCGTGTGCAGCAGAAGCTAGCTGAATACGGTATTTTATTGGAAAAGTCCACTTTGGACAATCATGTACATGTACCTTCCGCTTATCAAAAGGCTCAGGTATCTGAAATATGTTGATAAAAGGAAATATATATATAATAGTCTTTAAGATTTAGAGAAAATAAACTTCTTTTAAGTCGCCGAGTTTACAAAGAAATTGAAATTACTATTTAAATTGTAAAAATAAATACACGTAAAGTAAAAGTTGATAACCCTTTATGCTGGATACAAATTTTTAATTTATTTTTTTTCCCTACATATATTGAATATAAAATGCAAAGACTTATTATGAATTATCTTACAACTGTTTCCGTTCCGTTGTTGTTAAGTCGTAGGAACTGGGGATTTCTTTTGTAAAACTCCACAAGTTTTGCTGCAGATTCCTTGTCTAATTTCACATCACCATCTATCACGTCCATATCTTCTAAGCTTCTTTTGGATGACTTTGAAAATAAAAAGAAAAATGGGAAAGAAATATTAAAATATATAAAAAAAAATTGAACTTAAATTTCAGTGTTATTCAAGTTTTAACACCCAATTTTATGTTAACGCCCCCCAAATCTACCTGATTCAAGATCAATAATTTACCGCCTGTCAATCATTAAAAAAACAATAGCTTCTGATTTGATTGACAGATCAGCTACCTGTGCCACGTGATAATCTGAGTTTGCCTCGTCGCACGCCAAACTCTTTCATGTACCCGCCTTGTATATACACGTCGTTTGAATTTTATTTCAAAAAATAATTGAAAGTACGTATATAATTAAAACATTGACATCATAAAATATTTCTTTTCGATCTTCACTGCTGCTTTTTTACTTATAAGTGTTTTACTTTGAAACCTGAAAGTCCACAGAAACCGGCTCAATTTGCCGTAATCATTGGACGTCCGACGATTAAAATTATTTTTTAAGAACTGGGATATTAAAAAATATTCAGCATTATCATCATGTAGTTTACAAAAGATGTTTTGTTTACAAAGGCTACAATGATGAATATGCAAGATGTAGTACAGAAATTTATGTCGCTGCTCAATTTCCTCTAGGCCCATATTCGTAATGAAAAGTGCCGATAAAATGTCAAAATTTGAAGAGAAATCTTCACCGATAAAATTTTGTTAACACACGGTGACAATCTATTGAATATTTTGGAAATTGTTGGCCAGAAAATTATTTTTAAAAAAAAATCCGATCGTGGTAAATGTTCACAGCACGACGGATAAATGGATTAATTATTTTTTATTTCAATATTCAGAGTTTTTTTTTTTTATTATGGTGATTTCTTTTATTGAAGATTAAAAAAAATAAACGTTATGTTTTCGTAGTTTTTAGTCGTGATTTTTTCTTTAATTTAACGAAAACATTTGATTTTATAAAACGATATATCTTTATATTTTTTCCCTTCAAAACATTACGTACGATAAATGCGGTTAGTTTACAAAATAAAGTTCATATTTAAATAAATATTTTACGTAGTTTCACTCAAAACTAGACACAAAACACGTAATGTTGACCCTGATTACCAAACACAGACTTCAAAATTTTTAGGTTTATAAATAACATACTGTACTTCGATCACTTTATTTTTAAAAAAATTGGGTCTTTAAAAGTTTAGGTTTATAATCATAAGACTGCATATTGTAGATCATTTTATTTTTGCAACACTCATTGGCGAGACAAAATTTTCACGAACTTTGGTTATTGCTCTAAATAATCTTTAGGAATGATAATATGCACGAGGATAAAATTTTTCGCGAGCCAACTATCTCTCATAATTGCGCGAAAATAAAGTTCTCTCGAAAAAAAATTGATTTACAGTATATTGAATTTTTTTTTTAATTTTATTGCCTTGTTTATTGTGTGGCTTACAATGTTTTACCCTTAACCCGGGATTTGCTTTGCTAGTCACCTCATCTAGTAGCGAAATAGAAGATTCCAAGGAACGCTCAAACGCTCTTTCTGTTCTTTCTTCATCTTCCTTTGATTCCATTGGTTTGTCAATCATTTGACGGAGGTTTTCTAGATTAGCTTTTGCTGCATCATCCTTTTCCAAAAGACTTGCAACTAAAACTGCTAAAAGTGGCAAAATAACAGCTACACTCAACATAATGCTTTGGTTCTAAATTCAATTTTTGTTCCTTTTTCATAAATTCAGATCCGGATTTTGATTTGACTTTCGTAATATTCAAAGAACAAATTGAAAACAAAATTCAATACATCAATCACGAAATGACCTTTATAATATCTCATCTTCATTAAGATATTTTTATGATCCTTTGAAAAAATATTTAATTTTTTCAATTGCAATAAATTTGTTTTAATGACGTTTTGTTGGTATTTTCACCAACTCATTACGACGATTCATTGACTCAAGAAACAGGACATTTAATAGAAACCAGTCAAAAAAACCTGTATGAACATGTTTATAGTTCATGTCTCAGTTTTAACTGTGTTATTTAGTACATACTACATGTTAAAGTACAAGGGTTGATCCAAAAGTAATGTCACCAATACTGCAATTGTTATATCATGAATACTAGTAATAAAAAAAATTACAAAGTTTGACATAGTTATACATATAGTTATACCCTTATCTGTCATAAATTATTTTTTATCCTGAAATTTCAAACGATTTAAAAAAGTAATCTTTAAGATATTGAGATAAACACAATCGAAAGTTTCATTATTTCACAAGGACGAGCATATTATCGATGGCTGATTACATTACTTTTTTTTACAATTACTATATTATGTAATTTATGTATATTATTTCAATTTAAAACATTCATTTTCAGTCTCCTTGCAGGCTATTGTATACTTTATGAATGCACGTGGTTTTTTTTGTTATTTTGCAATTATCGTGATGTTTAAAATCGTAGCATTGAATAGTGTTGGTAGTTAAATCGATTTTTCTTAAATAGTTAGTTTTATAAAGTATTAATCTAATGAGTGCCAAATAGAACCGAATAGAAACGCAAAAATGACGTCACTCATTCTTACCGTGTCGCCACGGATGAGGTAGACTAAGAATTGCTTCTGTTTCAATATTTTTGCTTATGCTTCAATACTTAATAGAGTACTGTAAATCACTTTTTATTCGCGAAAATTTTATTTTCGCATAATTACGCGAGACAGTGTGCTCGCGAAATTTATTCTCATGTATAATAGTATTCCTAAAGATTATATAGAGCAATTCGTGAAAAATTTCCTCGCTAAGAATGAGTCAATGACTATTTATATCACGAAAATAAGGTGTCGCGAAAATTAAGTGATCTACAGTATTGCAAATATCTGAATTGAATTTAAGAGTAAAAGTTAAATTACATAGAGATATAAGTATGTACAAAGTTTTGATGAAAACAACTTCAATAAAGATTTTCTTAGGAGTAGTGCTATTGTTTTTTGTTTGGATTTATTATCTCTAATTTCAAATGATGCAACAATGCAAACTCATTGGGGAGCTAAAATAAAATTGTTTATAATATTTTTCATGAAAAAATATACACCATGTAGCCAGTAGTATTAAAAACATGGTCAGGTTCATATCAAGTACATGTTCACTTTCTTCAAAAACAAGCAGTATTTTGGCGAAGGCCAGAAAACGCGATAGAGGGCAAGGCTTATACCAAGACAACATATCGTGTATATTTCATGTCTTTAACTATGTATTTTGTTTATCCTAAAACATTTTTACATCAGACCTACAAAATGAGGTTTTTCATAGTCTCTTCTTATCAGCATTATGACGTGATCGTAAAGATTACTGTCATTTTGAAGATCGCAGATGAATATACTTAAAGAGACTATTTAACAAATTTTAAAGTTTGATGATACATTTTCAAAAAGGAAATATATCAATTTATTTCCATGCCAAAAAAAAATTTTTCCCGTCTTAACCCTTTAAAACCCATTCATTTTAACTTATAAAATAAATTTATGTCAAAAGTCAGAGTTCACTTATTTAATGTGGAAAAAAAATATATATGGCTAGCGATGATAATATTTGTAACTTAATTATGAAAATGCTGTATAATCAGTTGTGCAAAATAATGATATGGAATATGATTTGTACGCTTTCTGTAGTTATTATTTGTTATTTCATTATATTTCTTTGTTCCCAGGATCTTAAAATTGGAGTAAATTTACACTGAAAATCCATAAACCTAGAATTGCATGAACGTATTCAATTCATACGTAATTAACGTGTAGGAATTTCTTTTAAAGTGTTTCATAAGATAAAATTTACTGCTGTCACAGTTCATATAATACATGTTTAATAAAAAATTAATTGCCAGATTCTACCCACTACACACTTAATTTGCTCTATTTATTTTAATTAAAAATGTACCAATAAATTTTTAAAAATCTGATTTTAAAGCACCAACCTTTTTCGTGAAACAAATATCGGGTTCATGCATAATTTTTGAAGAAAATAATGGATGAGGGAAAGCACATACGATTTATGTACCACAGTTGATAAATCTCATGTAAGTTTCCCCTTCTCATTTAAAGTAAAAGTAAAGCGTGATTATTAATCCAATCGTCTTTTCATCCCAACTGTAGTTCTGTCAAATTAGAAAAAAAAAACAAACAATCCCACTCTTCTTTTCGAAGATCAAACGCCACACTGCTGGAATGAACAGACGTTGTTATGAGATACATTTTGTGATAATTGAGCAAGGTATATAAGCGGATAAATTTATGCATCAGTCTAAAACTTTGATAACAATTTAGTAAAAAAAATCATAATTAAAATGATGTTAGAAAATTCTTTTATATAACAAATGTAGAACCCAATAAATTCAATTAATTTTTTTAAGTTGACTGGGGTGGGGCCAACAAATTTACTAGCAGATATAATTTAATTTTTAGATATGTATCTTAAGCTGTCAACTATCATATGGCAAGGAAAACATTTAGTAGATTTTAGTTTTAACATTTGATATTTTTGTATATTTTTATAAGGAACTCTTCTTCTAAGGGGACCCATGTTGTCTAAAAAATGGCTACAACCACCCAGCCTTTTAA